GCCGAGGAGTCCGAAGGGCGAGGCCATGCTGGTCGCCTGAGGCAGGCGCCAGTCTGGAGGGGCCGCCGCCTTCCGAGATGGCCCTGCGCCGGCCTCCAAGGCTGCGACCCTCCCCAAGAGCGCGTTCTGCCCGGCCAAGATCTGCTCCAGGACCTGCTGCTGCTGCTGCTGCGGCGCCTTCCTGGCGGCGGCCTTCCGGGTCGGAGCCTTCGGGGCGGCGGGCGGCGCAGCTGGCTGCGCGTGCCTCCGCCACCTCCGCGGCCAGGCTCCTCAACTCTTCGACCGCACCAAACTGCGACTGCTCCAACAGCTCGCTCGGAGGCGTCGTGGCGGCTGGCGGGAGCGGAGAGGCCTCCCCGGAGAACCACGCGCCGAACCCAGCCCCTGCGGCCACTGGCTGCAGCCCGGGCGCCAGAGGGGGGCGGAGCTGCGGTCCGAAGGCGGACGACGCCGGCCCCATCTCCTGAGGTGCGCCTGTCGCCTCGAGCGCGGGCTCGCCAGCGCCCTGCAGGGAGTCCAGAGTGGCCAGCATCTCGGCAGGGACCGCGTTCACGGCAGCCACGGGGTCGGGCCACCAGCCATCGTCGTGGAAGGCGTAGACCTCGCCCTCGGTGGGGGGCGCGGAGGCGAAACGCCTCACCAGGGCGCTCGGGGTCTCCATGATCTCGGCCGAGAGCAGCTGGCCGTCCAAAGGCGACCCGACGCGATCCCAGGCTGGCAGATGCATGGCTTCGTAGGCAGTGTCGAGCCGACCCGAGGGCACCACCGCCACAGTCGAGAGGGCGTCGGCCCGCACTCGCAACGCCGCCACCGTGACCTCGTAGTCCGAGTCGACGCTGTCCTTCAGAGTGAGGAACCCGAACTCCCCAGCGATCCCTCCAGCAGCAGGGGCGGGCAGCAGGGTCGCGGCCGCCACGTTCTGGGGCGTGGCGTGCCCGAACCAGGCGCCCAGGTCCTCGACCTCCTCCTCGCCAGTGTCGAACGCGTTCTCCTCCTGAGCCATCTCCTCCCGCGGGGGAGGAGAGGCGGCACTGGGGCGCCGTGGCGGTCAACCTCGGCAGGGTAGCCCGCGATTGCCTCGGCCTCCGAGGCGAAGCGGCGCAGGCAACTGCGGACCCACGTCCCGGGTAGCGGGGCCCGCGCCAGGGGCCACGCCGGCCGGCAAGGTGCTGGCCCCGCAAGGGGTCAGGTGCACGCAGAGCGCCGCAGCCGCCAGGAGCGAGGCGCGCATCCACTGGAAGGTGCGCGGGAGGGGCAGGCGCGCGAGGGCGCCCGGTGAATGAGAGCTTGAAACCAGAGCCCCCGCGCGTCGAGGAATCACTGCAATCACATACTTGACCGGCGTGTATTTTCAAGCAGGAGACCAGGACGGTGCACATCTACGTCGACGTCGCCCTGGCAGCACGCCGATCCTGTTAACAAGACCCCTGCTCGAGGAGTTCGCATAGCAGGTCGACTACGCCAAGCAGCAGGTCGCCTGGAACGGCGGAAGCTTCGAGGAGGCCGTCCTATCGCCGCAGGGCCCCTACATGGTCGACTACTTGGAAGACCTGGACGACCATACGTCAAACGGCGACATCGATTTCGAGTACGAGCTGGTGGGCGCGGAGCCGTTCTTGGACAGCAATTATCCCAGTGCGACCCTACATAGGAGTTGGAACCCCTAGGAAAGCAGCATTAGTAGTAACAGTAAAGCTAAGCTAAAGCTAAGCTGAAGCTAAGCTAAAGCTAAGCGAAAGCTAAGCGAAAGCTAAGCGAAAGCTAAGCGAAAGCTAAGCGAAAGCTAAGCTAAAGCTAAGCTAAAGCTAATCAAAAGCTAAGCTAAAGCTAAGCAAAAGCTAAAGCTAAAGCTAAGCTAAAGCTAAGCTAAAGCTAAAGCTAGGCTAAAGCTAAGCTAAAGCTAAGCTAAAGCTAAGCTAAAGCTAAGCAAAAGCTAAGCTAGAGCTAAGCTAAAGCTAAGCTAAAGCTAAGCTAAAGCTAAGCTAAAGCTAAGCTAAAGCTAAGCTAAAGCTAAGTTAAAGCTAAAGCTAAAGCTAAAGCTCCCAGGGGACTGGGGGAACCGCGGGGCGGATCCTGGGGGAACCGCCCGGGGCGGGGAGCACTGCCCGGCCCCTGTAAGCAAACACAGTAAGAACCCTTCTAGGCAGAGCCTAGGTAGGGAAAAACTTGACCATCAGTGCCCTGGAGTTCCTGGACACAGGTCTACGCGGTGAATTCGAGCGACGACAGAGAGCAGTGAGAGCAAATACTGCAACAGGCGCTGAACGAAGAATGCCCGCATCGAGTCGTCAAGGTCAACTGCTGCGGCGCGCGCATGAAGCAGTATTAGTGCCTAAGTCACACGGAGTGTGGCAACCTTTGCTTCACAACGACGCCCATACAGCCAGTGGGCGCGAGCTTGCCTAGTCCCATGCTGGTGCCTACGGGACAGGTCAAGCAACGAGTCCAGCAATCTCGACCTGGAGACCAGCACCGCTGAGACGGACGAGGCCAAGCAGGTCACGACTCAAGTCAACCAGAAGATCAACTCTGCAGGCAAGCACGCGAGCGACCAGTACATGCGGACGATGCGTCGATAAGCGGCCGAGCGTTGCACGACGAGGCGCACGATCTGGGAGGTCTACGCTGGAGAGGCTCCACTCTTTCAAGCCATTCGCGACCTTGGAGCGAGGGTCGAGACGTTCGGTCTACATACCAGTTCGGACTTCTCGACGGCAAACCACCAGGAGAAGTTCAAGAGGAAGCTCATGGAGGAGCAGCCCGACGAAATCCACACGTCACCCATGTGCGGCCCCTGGTCAAACATGCAGGAGCTGAATATCCACCAGCATCCAGGGCGGCAGGAGTATCTTGTCGAGCTACGCGACTGGCACCACCGGACGCATCTGAGCTTCACCTGCGGACGTCTCCAGGATGCAGCACGAAGGCGGACGTCATGCTCACATGGAGCATCCAGCGACGTCGAGGGCCTCGCAGACGGTAATCTGGTCAGGGCTGCCTGGCATCAACCCGCAACTCGACCAGTGCATGGTTGATCAAGAAGCCAACCACCATCAAGATAGCCCAGAAGATCATGGTCGCGGTCATGGGTACGAGGTGCGAGCACTCCCACAAGCACTCCATGCCGGATGGCAACGACAGCGGCACCGGCACGGAGCGCACCAAGGCTTCGGAGGACTACCCGTTCATCCTGGCGGCCACGCTGGCCCAAGTAGTGGTGAAGCCCGAGATCGAGGAGATCAACAACAACGAGGACGACAGCAACACCACCACGACGGAGCCGACGGTACAGGGCAAGGACAAGGACGAGGTGATTCACGCACATCTGCAGCTGCGCGAGAAGTACGGCATAGAGGCTCTACGCTACGTCAAGCGGTTGCATCGCAACATGAATCACCCCAACCCGACGGCATTGCACCGACGATTTCAACAAACTGGCGCACAGGAGAATGCACTCAACTGCGCTTCAGAGTACCCTTGCGAGCACTTCATGCAGCGGCAAAAAACCTCCATGGGGCCAATAGCCTCGGCGAAGCAGGCTACCAAGTTTCATGAGATGGTCTACACCGACGCGTTCTGGATCAAGACTCAGGCTGGAAAGGCGGCAGCCGTATCCATAGCGGAAGGAGCTACCAGATACTGCGCAGTGCACACGACCCAGGGGGAGACAGCCCACGAGCTCGCCAAGGCAGTCGAGCGCGGCTGGATCAGGCAGTTCGGACCGATGGGCGAGCTACGCACCAATGACCGTTCAGGCTTCGCCCCGGAGAGTTTCACGCAGTTCCTGGAGCATCATAGCATCAACATAGTGATCGCAGCAGGCGAGGCGCATTCGAGTCTCGGAGTGGTGGACCGACATCATCAAGTGGTTGGACAGGCGATCAAGCTCTACCTTGCAGATACGGTCGAGCGTGGAGCCAGCACGACCATCGACGAGAAGATCATCATCGAGGCCTGCGCCTACGTGCCCCACCAGGTCAACCGCGCGGCGTTCACAAAGGGGTGCTCGCCATGCCAGTGGTGTTTGGCACGGGTTCCACCACTATCATGACAATTTCAAGCGACAAGTTCTCGCCAGCGACGCTGTACCAGATGAAGGAGGACGAGGACTTCCAGAACGCGTTGGAAAGGAAGTCCATGAAGGCGACAGCTTCCATGAAAGCCGATGCATCGGATAGACTACGACGCGCACTACTACAACGGCACGTGGCTCTCAAGCACGACCTTTCCATCGGCCGGCGGCGCTACTACTGGCCAGAGGGGAAGACCAACAAGCTCATCAGACACAAATGGAAAGGACCCGCGATCGCGATATTCAAGGAGACGCGGCAGGACGAGAGCGGACCGCGGATCTACTGCATCGTGCACGGCACCCAAGTACTACGCTGTGCACCCGAACACGCTCGGCCAGACGTAAGCGATCAAGGGTGCCTTCTACTCGAGAACCTCAAACAGGCTAAGGACGCGCTGGGCAACATGCAGAGGGCGGGCGTTACGCGGCTTCACGATATCAGCTTGCAGCAACCTCCGCTCGACGCACCGGGCGACTCGGACATGGACGTCGACGACGAGGACGACGACGACAACCAGCGACCTGTCAAGCGGCAGCGAGGGGCTCGGGGCCCAGCGCCTGAGGCGGATATCCGCGACGAGGTGACCCAGGAAGCTGCAGCCTCATCGGGAGCGGCGGCAGCGCCTGCAGACCCGGCACCAGCGGCGGCGCCAGCCAAGGAGGTACCAGACATGGAGATGTCGGCACCAAACGACAGCTGTCAAGCATCAGAGGGCAAATCTGATCAAGAGCCGATTCCGATAACACGACCACCAGAGCCAGAACAACCAGCACCAGTACCAGCGACGCCTACCATTACACACAGGGCCACCACTTGCACCACCCGTCTGCCTTTCGCGTCTGGGGGGGGGGGGAACGACGACAAAAATCTGTCGCCAGCGTGCGCTGGCTGACACGTGCACTGGTCGCCCAATGCGAGGGGCGCAACTGGGGAGGGGGGATGAGGACGAAAAGGAAGGAGGAGGAGGAGGAGGAGGAGGAGGAGGAGGAGTGGAAGGGATGGAGAGAGACACGTGTGGCCTTCTCCACGGATCGCGCGCCGCCTCGTGTGGGCGGCTTCGGCGCTCTCCCACGCGCGCCGCAGACTGCGCGGGAGTTGGCGCCGAGGCGCGAGGGCACTCGAGACTCCAGCTCTCTGGGGCTCGCCGCCCATGAAACGAAGCCAGGACGAGGATCCAATCGGGTGAGGAAACGTATCTCGAGGGCGGGGCCCCTCGACCAGCAGGGGGATGGAGCGTGGCCGGGTCCTCCCGCGCCACGCGCACGGGGGCGCGCCGCGGGTCGGGGGCCTCGGGGCACCGCGGCCGCTCGGCGAGCCGTGGGCCGACGGCACGGGATGCCCCTGTGCTGTGCGGCCGCTCGTGAGGGGACGGGGGCTCGCTCACTTGACCGACGCGAGCAGCAGCAGTGCGTTGTTGATGCCCAGCTCGGGCATCCATATGGTGAGGATGGGCATCAGCACGTTCTGGAGAGGGCCGATCCACTGCACGATCAGGGCTGTCCGTGGGTGGAACACCACCTTGCGCATGCAGTTGCGCCAGAAGGCCGGGCAAAGCAGCAGCTGGAGGGTCCTGCGCAGGAACCGCACCCACACAGGCATGGGGCCAACCGCCGGCTTCGGCAGGCTCTCCGCCTCCACGCCGAGCCACAGGAACGCGCACGGATGCATGACGTCCAGTCCGATGAACGTCACGATGAAGATTCCAACGACGTCGGCATGGATCAGCAACTCGGTGAACCAGAAGAGAATGTGCGTCACGATCATCGCCAAGACTAACAAGAGCGTCCACCACTGCGTCATTGCCTTTGACACGGCCCCACGGTCACCGCCAACCCAGTAGCTGATGTCCACTCCAAGCATCCTGTTCTTCAAGAAGTCAGATATTCCCATGACGATCGAGTAGGCAGTCAGCGGCGCGGTGATATAGAACATCTGCGTGGTGCGCCAAATGTTCGTCAGGCTGAGGAAGAACACCTCGTTAGCCGCCATGCTCTGGTCCATTCGGTAGCGGCCGGTAGCGGAGATCACCATCGACCACGACAGCACCTGCATCATCCACGAGAAGAGCACCATGCCACTTGCCTCGAAGTGGTAGTACCTTTTGAAGTAAACGGCGTAGTAATTAAAGCCCACCCAGAAGAAGGCGGTCCAAAACCACAAGAAGTAGGTCAAATTATCCATCGTGATCAGCAGCCTCGCCCACTGTGCCAAGGAGGTCGGGAAACGAGTGCGGCGAAGCTTGCGCTTCCTCCCGCAGCAGGCGCAGTGATGCAGGTAGTGGGAGGCCATCGTGATTATGGTGAGCACAACAAAGAAGAGGAGCATGGCAATGAGCCAGCCTTGAACGTTCAGGAACATGTCTATGAAGATATACTTGTACACCTCCTCCACGGCCCCGTAGGCCACGCACCAGTCCGAGAGCTGCGTGGCGACATCGACCATGGCGACGTAGAACAAGTCGCCGCCGAAAACGCGCAAACTGAACTCCTCGAGAAGGCCGGTGTAGCCGTACCCGTAGACCAGGTTTACTAGCGAGCCAATGAAGGAGAGGAAAAGGATAAACGTCATCCAGATCATGTGGATCCCCTCCTCGCAGCCGAGGAAAGTCTGCAGAGAAAGGACGACGCCGCCCTCGGCCCAACGCTGCACAGCGGCCAAATAATCCACCGGGTCCTTCGCCATTCCGTACGCGAGGCGCCTGTTGATGTACTGGGAATGCTTGCCCTTGACCACACGGTCCAGACTGCTTGCAGTGTCCTCCACCTTGCAGCTCTCGTGAAAGAAGGTGTACTCGATGCACTGTGTGAAGCCCTGCCGCTTCATCTCGACCGACTCCATGTCCCAAATGCTGTCCGTGCCACGAATGCCCGCACGCCTGTCGCGGATCAGCCACGTGCCGCCAGTGCCGCAGGAGCTGACGCCACCCGAGCAGTTTCTGAGCATGCAGTTCATACGGAAGAAGTTCGAGTTGTTCGTATCCAGGAAGTCGACATCGTCGGGCATCTCGGGGTAGTACTGAGGGCACTGCGTGAACGCGACAGACGTGTCCACCTCCTGCTCCTGCTCCTGGTCCTTGAGCTTCCTGAAGAAGAAGGGGATCGTCTCGTGCATAAAGTCCGGCTGAAACTGGTGGCGGGCATCGGCGATGCTGAATAGGGAGTGCTTGTAGCGCTCGGGCTCCAGGGCTTCCATCGCGGAGGGCGCCAGCTTCATGGAGTAGTCAAACAAATAGTTCTCCACGAAGTTGAGGCCTCCTGCCTTACCACGGCTCGTGCGCAGAGGGACCAGATACTTTTTCGTGTCGAAGTCCGCGTCGGTGAACTCCTGCGCGTGCCGGCGCCACTCGAGCCAGCTCTTCTGGCCCCTGGCCTCCTCCAGCTGGGGGACCTTGTAGTACCACGTCCCGCGGGCCACGTGCTGCACCTTGAGGATGCGATCATCCTCGTCGGGCTTGGCGCGGGCAAGGTAGTGCAGCGTGTACAGGGGCGCCGGGGTCGGATTCGAGCTCGACGCGGGCGGGGTCCAGGAATAGGCCTCGACATCGTCCAAGTGAACTGGCACGCGCTTGTCGCACGTGCCAGCCCCGTCGAATGTCTTCTCGCCGCACGCGAGCTCCTTCCGGACCTGCTGAAGCGCCTCCTCGAGGTCACGGATGAGCTCGCCACCCTCCGAGCCGTCCCCGCTCTTCGGCCAGCCAGCGCGGGCCTGCAGCGTCTTGAGCGCGTTGACCCCAGCCAGGTCGTCGAGCTGCTTCTCCAGCTTCCTGATCTCCGCCGTGGGCTCCTCATCCTCCTTGAGTGCCTGCCTCAGCTTGTTGATCTTGTCCGCAGTCTTCGCGGTGTTGCACTGCTCAAGCCTGAAGAGGCGGGTCTGCTCCACCCACAGCTTGGTAAAGGTCTTAAGGTTGTCCTCCTTGAAGCCACCGATGGACCCGTTCCGCGGCGAGCGGTTGGCCTTGCTCTGATTCAGGGAGATGTCTGGGACGTGCTGCAGGACCGTCACCAGGGCTCTGAACATCACCTTCTGTGGGTGCCTATGGCCCTCGTCGGCGAAGACGACATAGAAGGGGCACTGGCATTTCCTGGGCATGCCCGAGAAGGCGCCGACCACGTTACGCAGCACGCAGGCCTTGTTGGCGGCGCGCCGAGGGGGTAGCGGGAGGGGGGAAGGCTTCTGAGAAGGAGGCTGCTTCTTAGAAGGCGCCGGCCTTACATCTACAGACAAGGCCCGCGCCTTCTAAGAAGCAGCGGTGCTTCTAAGAAGCATTCCCCCCTCCCCCATACCCCCCTCTGCGTGGCCGACCTTGGTCTCACCTCCACTCGGCGCGCAGACGGCGATGTACTTGAGCTTACCCGTCATTGCTGGGTCGTAGTATTTGGGATGCTTGTATGGGATGAAGAGGCCAGGGAAATACGTCACCAGCCTTACCGCGAAGCCGATGAGCAGCACCAGCACGAAAAAGTTTACTGCGTACCCGTCGTTTGCCGGTGTCTCGAAATTCGAGGTCAGCACTGCAAAATCGATGGAGCCGTCCGCGTTACAGTGCTCCAGGGGAGAACCTTGGTCCATGCATGCGTGCGCACACCTTCCGGCGACCGCCAAGCACCGGTCGGTGAACGGCGGCGGTGCCACCGTCTGCGCGAGCTCGAGCTCGAACTTATCCGCATACATGCTGCTATTCACGGCGCAGGCGACAATGTAGAGCGGCCCACGCGCGGCAAAGCACTTGTCAGGCTTTAGCGAGATCTTGTTCATGTCCCGAAACTGCATCGCATTCCAGCTCGCGTCTTGATAGGCCGGCGCCAGCGTGGTCTCGTCGTCCTCCACCTCCTCTTCCTCGTAGAGTGCTAACGGAATTGGCGCGGGGGACTCGAGGGCATTGTATGCAGCGGGGTTGTAAAGCCTCTTCCATTTTCCGCTCATCATTCCAGCAGGGCCCTCGCCACTGGCATCGACGCCAGTCGTGAAGACGTAGGCGCGGGGCACTGAATCGGCTCCCACCAGTGAGCCGTCGGCCTGCGCGGCACCACGCAAGTTCACCTGCATCCGGGGGAGGCTGTCGTAGTCGATGTATTCCTTCCTCTCATTCTCCCCGCGCGTCGTGTAGCGACACTGGGTGCACGGCCACCCCGAGAATGGGACCGTCGAGGTGATGCACTCCGTGGACCCAGGGTCCGACAAGCAAGCCCTCACGTCGATGGAGCCGCCGAAGCTCGCGTTCGGCACGCTGCGCCCAGCGACAGTGCTCTCCTCGTTGTTCACGTTCAGCACGCCCGCCGAGCAGCCGGGCAAATCGGTGTCCGAGGAGCTCGACCCACACGACCAGCCGCAGACCCCGCCGACGGCGTCGCAGTGAAGACCGATGTTCTCACGCTCAGCACCCATGATCTCGTGGTTCGCCTCATCCTCCAGCCAGGCAATCTTGTCCGATGACCACGCCACACAGACCATTACGTAAGTGGGAGTGGAAGCGAACAGCTCCGTCGGCGGCAAGGTTGTGGTCTCCGCGCCGGAGGAGCCCATCCCAGGCACGCGGGTGCACTCCCCTGTCGTGTGCTGGTAGATAGCAGCGTTCTCTGCGCTGTGGCTCGGAAAGAATGGCACCGTCATCGAATCGCGCTTGTCAGCGGCCACCCACCAATTCTGAAAATCGTTTGAAGCCAGCAGCACCGGGTAGGCTGTATGCTCGAAATCAGGGGCGCTCAATTTCATATCAACACTGAAGCTCACGTCAGCACTCGAGTCAGCCCCGCCGCCACAGGAGTGGTTGCACTGCGAGAACGCCGTGGGGATGGGGGACACATTAAGCGTGAAGCGCGAGATGTTGTCGTTGACGATGAAGGTGTGATCCTCCAGTACTGGAAACTTGCCATACATCTCGTTCCAGTATTGGTTCGGCATAGGACTGTTCACCATCCAAACCAGGAAGACGGGGAACTCGAAGCAGAACATGAAAAAGACGATGACGAAGCACCAGTAGCAGCTGCCGCCCTTCCCCTTGCCGCAATGATTCCTGCAGGCCCAGCAGCACTTCTCGGGCCGAGGCAGGCTGGACTCCTCCTCGTCCGGCTCCTCCTCGGGCAGGGGCGACGCAGAGTCGGCGGCGCTCTTGTGCCGACTGAGCCGGCTGAGGCCGCGGGGGGGCAGCCTCGTCGAGGCAGGGGCGTTCGCCTCCGCCTCCACACCGGCCCCCGCCTCCACGTCGATGCTCTCGGCGCCAGCGCCAGTGGCCGCGAGCGCATTGGGCACGGCAACGCTGGCGGCGGACACCGCGCCCAACGAGCTCGGCGGCGGTGTGGTCGAGACGGCGTCCTCGGGGTGCGGCGCGGAGTCGGCCTCACTGCGCTGCGGGAGCCCCAGCATCGCGCGAACGGCGGCGGAAGAGGCTGCTGGAGGGACTCGCGCGTGGCGCGTTGAGCAGCACGTTTGGCCGCCGTTGGGTCAAGCTTGAGCCAAAATGGCTACGGACACCACCACTTGCACCACCACGACCGACTTCAGTAGAGTCCTGTGCAAACAAACAATCGAGCAGAGTACGACTGGATCAGGCAGAGACGGCGATCTTCCGTCGCCCTGACGGCAGCATATATCAAGGACCACCTCAGTCAGCGCTAGTTGCAAGCGCGGCCATGCACCGACCAGTGCCAGATGATGCCGACAATGCAATGGCAGCACTACAGCTAGAGGTCAGCAACGACGACCTTCCGTTCGGCTGGGAGTTCCACGGCGACACGGCGAAGCTCAAACACATCTACGCGGACATGGGCATGACGCCCCACGAACAAGCAGCGTTCATGGAGGGCAAACGCAAGGAGCTCATGGAGATGTTTGACAACGACGTGGGGGAGTTCCACAAGCCGACTGGGGTGGAGGACCCCCGCAGGTTCCTCAAGGCGTAGCGGGTACTCTAGTGGGCCAAAAGCGACGACGGCACGCCTAGGGCAAAAGCCAGTCTGGCACCACAAGGCTTCAACGACCCCGACGCGCTGAACGGTAGCGAACCTACGGCTACATCTACGGCATCGAGGCTGGGACGTCACATGGCCGCGCTGTTAGCGGCGAACAGCGGCTGGAGACTCTGGACAGCAGACGTGGCAACGGCGCTCCTTCAAGGACGATCCCAAGAGCGTTAGCTTTACGCTAAAATGAACAGGAACGCAGGAGAGCCCCTGGGAATCAACCCCGACACTCCGACGCAGCTCACTGAGCCGGTGCACGGCCAGGTGGACGCACCAAGGCGTTGGTGGCTGCGCGCGGTGGACGACCTGAAGGCAAGCGGTCTCACACAGCATCCTCTGGACCCCTGCATTTCCTGAGTTTCGACAAGGACGGCAACAACGACGGTCTCATCTTACTTTACGTGGACATGCATGCCCGGAGGAGACCGGAGGCCAGGCAGCCACTACGACAAGATCATCGAGGAGGTCAAGTTCAGGAAATTGATCGAGGACGACACTAGAAGAGCCAGAAGTCAAACAGCAGCGAGTTCGAGATCAAGATCGCGACCTACACCAAGAACCTCGAGCCAATCACCATCGAACAGAAGGAAAGCGACAACAACCAGGAACTGACGAGCAAGGAGCAGCGGCAGCTACGTGGACTACTGGGAGCACTACAATGGCCGAGCTCACAGGCGTGTGCCCACGTATCGGCATCAGTCAGCCTCCATCAAGGTCAGCTACCGGCGGCGACGGTGGGCACGGCCAAGGATCTTAACAAGACTCTGCGATTATATAAGCAGAACGCGGACGTGGGTACCAAGATGAAGAAGGTCAGGCAAGTCGGTGACATCGCATTCGTGGCGATGACCGACGCAGCCCAGGGATTACGGCATGATGGAACAAGCCAAGAAGGATACGTCATCCTGGCATGCGACAAGCAGGTCCTGCAGGGATACGAATCCGACTTCAGCGCAGTCGGCTGGAACTCCTTCAAACTAGCACGCTTAGCACGCTCATAGTCACACGCAGAGTCACAAGCAGTAGCAGCGGGCATGGACGCGCTAGAGTTTGCCGAGCGGTTTTGGGCAGCTATGATATGTGACATCGTGGACATCACCGAAGACGAGAGCACTCGCCAAGCCAGCGAGTCGGCACTGGTCGCGGACGCCAAGGCGCTCGACGACGCAGCTCAGAGGAGAGCATCAGCAGCTTCAAGGACAAGAGGACCAGCATCGAGGTGTTAGCGCTGCGCGAGAAGATGGCGCTGGAAGTGGGCATCTTTAGTAGGGCAGCGCGCGGACGGGCTCCCGAAGATTGCAGCGAGGCAGTTCTTCGCGGACCGCCTACGTCATGGGCGGCTCCAACTCATGCACGACCCAACCTACACGGCGGCCAAGAAGAAGACCAAGGAGGAGCGGCAGGAGAGCATCGACCAGACGAGGGCGGCCACGTCATCAGCATTGAAGACAGCAACCTCACCCCTCCTGCAGCCGGCAGCATTTGCAACGAGTTGCTGCCGATCAGAGGCCCGAGAGACCAGCAGCATCAAGGAGGATGTCAAAGATGGCGACAACATCGCATTCTGGCTTGCCCCGCTGCGCGCGGCAATGGGCATTGCTGTGGCATATCCCACACTCATGTACTACAAGACGAAGGCCGAGTACATCTACTAGATGGAGTCGGCTACACCCATGGCGCATAATAATGTTTTGACCCTCACGTTTCAGATGGCCACACCCACCTGTCAACACGTCAGGGCAGCACCGATTGTCGAAACTCCAAGCGCGCGCCTTCCCCCCGACCTCGAAGACCCACTGAGGGTGCCTGACACGCGCGCACACGTGCAAACGCACAACGCAGAGCGCCCGCGCCACACGCGCGCACAAAAGAGGGGCCGGAGCGGACCCGCCAGGTTGCCTGACGCCCCCGCGAGGCCACTTAGTCCGAGCCCCCCGACTCGATGAGAGAGGGTCGGGCCCCCGAGGGGGGGGGGGCCAAAGGAGCCTCATCCTCTTCCCTCGTGGGAGCCTCGGCGACCCTGTCCAGGGCGTCTGCAAGGCGACAGTGCTGAACGACAGACGAACACTCAACGACCTCACTGCCTTGCGGCCCTGGTTCAGAAAGGGAGTCGGCTGTCTCCGCCTCCGCCGCTCCGCCGCGACAGAAAGGGCCATCTCGTCAATTTCCCGCAAGCACTGTTGGGATGCGGAGTCAGGAATATCAGCCCCCCCCCCGAGAAACAAATTTGCCTTCGCCCCCAATCGGCGGAAAGAGCTCGACGGAGATGGAATCATGCTTCGGGCGCAGACCACGCTGGATGCGTTTCCAGCGGAATAAGGGATTCCTGCCTGCGCCCACGGGAAGGTCGGGTTTCCAGCAGGTCTGAAGCACTTTGCGAAACTGTCTGAGCGCGGTGTGAGACTCACAACAAACGCGGACACATAAACTCCACGTATCCGAAGAGCCACTAGCCAACAGAGCATGCCCATGCTGAGAGGCAATATGCAGCGCCATGGGGGGGGCCGCTGCAACCTTCTCCCGACGGTTTCGGTGCCGACCGTCGGAATCTCAAACAGCAACCACACCTCCAAAGTCCTCTGAGGCTCTCCCACTGATAGGGCTGCCAACACCAGTTTGGGAGGCTTTGGGATGGAGACAAGGCGAAGCGCTCACTGGGAAAGGTCCAACCTGGGCCACAGGGGGGGGAGGAGGGCCCCCACACGCCTGCACTCTTTTTTGACTGATCAGAAGGACATCCTCAACAAACCCACGCAACTCTTCAGTCGGGCCCGGATGGAGCGCTGCCCCCGCCTCGGCGGCTAGGTCTGCAGCACGATTACCCTTCGCCCAGAAAAACCCAAAGGCCGACATTTGATCGCCGACCACCTGATGAGCCTTGACCTTCTCAAACGATCTCCGGAAAAGGTCCCTACCATTGGGCGCCATGCCTGCGCGAGGCCAGCCGCGCGAAAGTTTGGCGGAGAGGGGGGGGGGAAACAGATGTCACCACACTGGAACAATCAGAGTAGCCCTGACTGGGGCCGCCCAGGCCTCCCAGAGACCAGAGCACCTAGCAACCTCAGTCTTCAAGAGGCTCCTGGGCTCCAAGAGGACCCGCCCCAGGGACGAAAGAGTGGTGGTGGGGGTCCAGGCGTTGGGGCTACGAGTCCACCAGTGAGCTTCCTCCCCCCCTCTCATCAATGCCGTCTAACAGCCAGGACCTCCAAGACATCGCCGCTTCGTGTTGGGCCACCCCCGAAATACACAACCAAAATGTCCCAGGCCAGTTCGGAAAGGAACAGGCCCTCCTTGGAGTCCATGCCTCCCATCCGCTGTTCATGCCGTCCTGGAGGTAGGAAAGGAATGCCAAGATAAATGGGAGAGGTACCGTGAAAATGATGCAGATGTTGCTCCACCTGCTGCGGAGGGTTCGAGAGCGACTGGCTGACCAGGTTCACCTGATCAAACAAACGGCTCCTGCGATGCGCGAACAGAAAAAAGAGTCTGAGCGCCCCCATCCGACCACCTGAGGGCGAAGAGCTCAGGTTGACGAAGATTCCTAGTACGACCCCGATCCAAGAGAGACGCCCACGATAACCTGAAATACTTCCCCCGCATGCCCCAAATTGGAAGAACGACTTGACGAGGGGCCGCCAGCTCGATCTCAACCGGCCTGGCGGGCCCAAAGCTTGAATCGCAAGACATCGTTGTTTTATTCATTGGGGGTGACGCGTGTTACCCTGGGGGGGGCGCGGACGGGGGGGTAACGATAACGGCGGCCGCGGCGTGCCCCCGCAAGGGTGAGTCCGAGCCACCAGCACATCAATCGCCCGTGCACCACAGCCCCTGTGCATACGACAATGCCCAACGCCTGCGTGCCAGCCCGTGTGCACACGACGATGCCCAAGGCCTGCCTGCAACACAGCGCCGCCTGCGTACACCACAGCGCCTCCGTACACCACAGCAACCGCGCGCACCACAGCACCACGTCGCTTGTATACACCACTATGCCTGTATACACTGCAGCAGCCCCGTGCGCAACAGCGCCTGTGTATACGGTGCCTGCGTGTGCAAACCACAGCGCATGTGCACACCACAGCAACCATGTGTACCCTAGCGTCTGCGCACGCCACAAAGCCTCCGTGCACCGCAACGCCTGTGTACACCACAACACCAAGCGTGGGGCGTCGGCTATACGGTAGGTCCGTGTCGTGACGCCTTGGAAGTTGGTTTCTAACACTACGTGGGCCGTTCAATCTTGAACGATCTGCGCCACCGGAAGCTCGCGGTCCAACATTGCACCATGCACCGCGGGTTCGTTTCTCAGAATCCTGAAACTCGAAAGGCCCCCCCCCCGCGGGCGCGTCGCAACCTTGAACGCCCGCGGTAGGCCCGCCGCCGCGCCTTCTCTGCGCCAGCGAA